ACCCCCCCCCCCAGCCACTGCTCCCAGGCAGCCCTGCCCCCTTGTCACCCCTTCCCGGCTCAGGTCACAGCAACACCCTGAGCTGCTGCTGTGGATGTGCTAAGATGGGGCAGGCTCCCCCCCGGCATCCCCATCCCCCGTCGGGCTCCACTGAAGTGCCTAGAGAAACTGAGGCACGCATACACAGACTGCGTTACCACAGTAGGAAAGACCCACAACCCAATAGAGCGAACACAGGCCCCGTTATGTCACACTCCCATTTCCACCACAGGGGTGCCATAGAAAGGGAAACTGAGGCACGCATCATATTCATGTGGCACGCTCCAGTCCACGTGCAAAATAAGGGAAAACCCCAGTTTGTCTCACGCACTGACCTGTAACTGCTCCGACCTGCCCCTTGTTCCCAACCCGCAGCGCCTGCCAGCCCAGTGCTGGACTCCTCCCAGCTCTGCCGGTGCCTGTGGCGGGGTGCCCCGACTCCTGCACCCCCGTAATAGCACACAAAGGCTGCGTCTGGACTGGCAGCATTAGTGGAAGAGAGCGTCTAGATTGGCAGGACGCTTTTCCAAAAACACTTTTTGCGCAAAGCGCCTGTGGCCGGTCTGGACGCGGTTTTGCGCAAGAAGGCCTGGTCGCCATTTTCGCCATCGGGGCGTTTTGTAGAAAATGCTGTTGAGCGTCTACACCGGCCCTCTTGCGCGAAAGCATTTCCGGAAAAGGGCTCTTGCCGGAACGGGGCCGTCGAAGCATTTGCGCAAGAAGCTCTGATTTCGGGCAGTAGAACGTCGGTGCTTTTGCGCAATATCAAGTGGCCAGTGTAGGCAGCTGGCAAGTGTTTGCGGAAAAGCCGCTGCTTTTGTGGAAAAACTTGCCAGTCTAGACGCAGCCAAAGACTCCCCCAGCGGGTAGAACAGGGGCAGTTTATCGCTTCTCCAGGGTGCAGCCCAGCACAGATGCAATCCGGTTCCAGGTGGGGGAGCCTGGGCCCCTAAATCCCAGCCCCTTCCTTAGGCTGCTTCCCCCATGATACCAGCCAGAAACTGCCCCCCAGCCAGTGCTGGTCCCCCGGGACGCTGAGCCGGGGTGTCTGGTTAATCCACATGTGGGAGAGTCGTGAGAATCTCCCATCCCAGCGGGGGCCCGGGTCCCAGAGCAGACCCCCCGCTACGCCACAGTGCCTCTCACTCCGGACGCGCAGCCTCAGGCCTGCCAGTGCCCCTGCCGGGCTGCCTGACCTCTCCTCTCCCTGCAGCTGAGACTGCAGCTGGAGCTGAAGGAGCGGAGCCGGCAGCTGGTGCTCGGCCCCCTGGAGCCCAAGGCCTGTGCGGGGGGCCCCGAGGACAGCGGAGGGGACAGCAAGGACGTGAGCGAGGCCACGGAGAGCACGGACGTCAAGGAGAGCTCCGAGGCCTCCGACTCGGCCTCCTAGGGCCCCGCCAGCCCAATAAATGGTCCTGCTGAGAGGGGGGCTCCGTGTGGTCTGTGCCCTGCCGGGGCCTGCCTGGCTCGCCGGTGGGGGAGGGAGTCAGCCCGGCCAGCACG